ACTATTAAGATATTGGTTGTGTAATACTGAAGCTATTTTGAAAAGGTGAACAAATTTATATTTTACTCCCTTTGCGACTCAAAATGAACCTTATTTTAATGTATAAAGTAAATCTTTTTTGGTGTGTTTTTTCTCAGGACTTGATCCCAGACATGAAGAAGGTTTGGCCAGACCTGCTTAATCCTTCTTCTTTTCACTTCTGGTATGTCTCATCCTTTAAGTCAGCATGTTTTTTTTGTTTGTTTTGTTTTTATGAAAAAGTTGTTTTTGGGGCCTAGTTTTGGTCATAACGTATCAAACTATCATTATGCTAATTTAACACATGTATTCTTTTTATTAGTACTATTAGATCATTACTCATAGAAGTCATTCAAAAATAATAAAAGGGAACATTTCACTGCATTTGTTAACATCTAGATAAATGGTAAATGGACTGAACTCATATAGCGCTTTCACCAATCATTTTTGACCACTCAAAGCGCTTTACACTAGAGTCACATTCATCCATTCGCACTCACAAACGCTCACACATTTATACATCGATATGTCAATAGATCCTTTCAGTTGCTGATTTTAAATCATACCCTAAGTTCTTGAGGTTGTGTTCATTTAATATTGCTTTAATATATAATATTATTATTGCTTTTACATTAGTAAAACTGGGTTATTGGCAGTGGTGTTCCATATCGTCTCATTTATGGTAATACCGGTGAATTTTTTGACACGGTGGAAAAAAATTTATATATCAAATGATGACGTCATTTAACGTAGCCCGACCTGTACAGTGCGAGGCGCTATGTACAGCTTCTTGTAGTCGTTTGACAACCGGCATTAAAATAAAAAGGAAGCTGGTCAGCTGGTTCACAGTCTGGGCTGAACTGAATTTCACAGAATTGGCTGATATATACAAGAAGGGAGAAATATACCGTAGTGTTTTGGTCGCTGCAGCTCCCGTATCCGCCATTACCTTGTTCCGCGGAACTCCTCGCCACACAAACAGAATGAACCGGTCACTGTCAGCATGGCAAAAAAAAACAAAAAAAAAAAAAAACAACTTTCTGAAACACTGAAGTCTTCCTAAATTAATAACTCGAAGCTCAACACAAGGCACAGGACCATCGATATACATGAAACGGAACATTTCCTGTCTGTGTTGACCCGGTTGCGTGCACGCGCAAGGATACCACGGCTGCTCAGGAACATAGAGAAGAAGCTAGCTAGCTTTAGCTAGTCACATCTGCTAAGTCTTGAACATTTAAATAAATCAGTGGAAGCGAGAGTTGAATGTGCTTATTGCTCTGTGTCCCGAATCACAATACTTATAAAAAAAAAAAAAAAAAAAAAATCTTTGCTCACTGTTGGTAAAGCAAACCAAACGGCGCTGCGGGAGGGGTAGAGAGAGGGTGGGGGGAGCTGTAGTTGCGGAACAAAAAAACTAAAAGCCAACACACCGACAGGAAGTCATTACTGCAATGGGGATGTCCGAGACAGGCGGAATAAATGAAATTTCAGTGCCTGATCATTAGGAAGTGAGCACAAGCTTTTGCTTTTTGCATGGATTTTTTTACGAGACATATTTTGGTGTCTGGCATTTGTAAAAATAAGGTTTTATTTATGTAACAAGATTATTAGTTTTGCACATATTTGAATGCTTAAAAAGTATGATGGGGAGACACTTTTTAAAATCTTGTAAAACCGTTTTGTTGATCCACAGCAGTTTGTTTAATTTTTGTATTTACTGCAAACTGGAATTGTGAGATAGATTTGATTTTATGGGATGAAACCAAATTGATAAGAAAAGTGTTTTGATCTTAAAAACTGATCAAAACTGAAGAAAAAGAGATAAATAATGTTGTCTGGTAAAATGTTATAGTATTAACTTTCAGTTGATCTGCATGTTTTAGTTTTTGGTTTATCAGTTAAATGAATTTCCTTTTGCAACAGGAAGTACGAGTGGTCTAAACATGGAACATGTGCAGCAGAAGCTGATTCGCTGAATAGTCAACACAAGTATTTCAGCAAGGCACTGGAATTGTATCAGAAGGTGGATTTGAACAGGTAATGTTGGTTACACATTCTTTCACACACACCTGCATGAACATCCCTGCCTCACATGCAGGCTTTGTCATTTTGAACATTTCTGTATCTATATCTTTGTACCGTGGTGATTTATAGGAATTATGTTTACTCTCCATGTTTGTTGCCCGGTGTTTCACTTATTTCATGTTTCTTTCGGTAAAACTCAACATCAGTTAAAGTGAAGATCTGTAATGTTTTATTGCAGCATGCTGCAGAAGGCTAACATTACCCCCTCTGACAAATACTACACTGTAAGTTTATCTATTGCACTGGATTTATGAAACTACATTCTGTCACAACAGTAATAATATTTCTGTGACTTTTGCAGTTTTCAGATATTGAGCAAGCGATGGAAAACTTCTATGGCGTGAAACCCAAGATCCAATGTTTGCATCCATCAACGGTATAAACAGCTTTTTTTTTTCTTTAAACAATTCAACTTATTTATGTTTCCTTGTTTGTAAAGTTTATGAAACTTGTATTAGACAATAATTATGTTTACTGTTTTTTCTTTTTGTTTCTTTGTTTGTTGACAGAACTCTGAGCCCCAGACTTTGGGACAGATTGAGATCTGTTTTGATGCTGACTTCACTCTGTATGACTGTGAGAAACACTTTGCCACTAATACTCTTTCAAGAGGACAGTGGGACCAAAACAAATCATCTGGACTCAGTGTGTGTTCTCCTGACATACCAGTTTATTACCCACCTGATTCTTAAATGCAAACATGTTCAAACTGGGGAGCTATATCTCCTTTTACCTTTTTATGGACAAAAATAGTTAGTTTTTGTTCGTAAATGGATCGTAATTTAGCATGTACACTAATAAGCAACCCATTTCACCCTGTTTAGTATTCACATTTAACGATTTTGAGTTTCTGTCAGGTTTATAAATATAATTAGTTTCACATTTTGAGGAATGCTTGAATTCAAGTTGGCTTAAACAACAATGCTGTTTGCATATACAGCAACAAATGTAAAACACTCATGGAAACTAAAATGTTCAGTTTAGTACAGTCAGTTTTTGTGTCCTCTTTTCAGAGGAAGCCCCTGATACTGAAAATGTTTTTAAGGATTTATTAGGTTTACTTGATGATAGACTTCAATTGTTTATGAGAATTCGGGTCTGACTGAAGACACTGATAATTACTGATATGTAGGGACACAAAAATATAAAGTTGCGTTTTACCAGCCGCTTTATATTGCTGGATACTGTGGGAAATATAATACTCCATAGTCTGAGCTAATGGGATCATATAGATGTTGAAGAAAAATACCCCAAGCTTAGAGCCTTGAGGTACTCCACATGGGATTTTTGCTTGACCTGATTTATTATCACCAAATGTCACAAAGTAGTTCAAATCTGTCGAAGAGGATCACACTTGTTTTGCACTGCAACAGACAATCTTGCTTACTTTGCCATTCTGTCAGTGAGAATTTTATGATCCCTTGTTTTGAACACCTACATCCAGTAAAACCAAAACAGAGGTTTTGTGATTTGTCGCTATTAAAACGCATCCCATTCAAATTCTGTTCTGTATTTTTTTCTTGTTAGCTGGAATTGTCTTGATTCAGGGCAATTTGCAAGGTTTCACTTTGTCCTGGGTGGGATGAAAATGGCCTTTACTTTAAAGGAAAGTGCCTTACTTTGTAACTTCTTTGTCATTTATTTGACCTTTCTGATGATTGTTCTGCCTTTTTGAATTTTTGCCAAGTATATGAAATGATACTCTAGAATGTTAAATAAACATGGAGCGCCTGTGATGACAGATTTATTCATGAACAGTGATTATTTTTAATCACCTGTTACCTCAGGTTATGTTTATGTGTAGCAAACTGATTATTTGATGTTAAATAATATCTTCTGCTGTCAAATGTCCTAAAATTAGCAACTGCACAATGCTGTAAGTTCTTATTTTTAATATGAATAAATGTATCCTTTTGATTCTCATTGGTGTCATCAACTCTTTTGTTTTATACAATGTTTTTTTTTTTTTTAAATGCATAATGAATAGGAATTTATAAATACAATTTGCTGGGATTACACTGTAAGACAATTTGACAAAATTATGAGACAGGGTGTTAACAGTTTTTTTTCTTTCTTTCTGCAGTGTGATCCAGCATAGATACACTGGTATATTTGAGTCTGTCTGTCTCACAGGCTGTGGGGTATAAATATTAATGTTGTGATCTCCTTACAGAGCCTTAATCCCACTAGGACAAAGACATCAGTCCATAATCCTGAATCTCCGCCCACAGCAGAGCACAGCAGATTGACTGAACACATTTGATTACATTTTCCAATAGTCCTAAAATGCCCCAAAAAACTGTGTACCTGATGTGACCAAAGTGTGACCCAGATTCAGCCAAACATGTGAAAACTGCACTGTGACTTCTGTGTCCTGGACTTTGAAGTGTTTGCGGCCCTGTAGGAGTGTTTTAGGTGAACCTTACAGAAATTTAACCTCAGCTCAGCTGCAGACAGTTAACCCCAGAAGCAGTCCTCATTTGCCCCCCACCAGCTCCCATCAACGTGGTCTGGCTGCCATGTATCACTGCTTCTTTCTGAGGTTATGTAACACAGCAGCCCTGCAAAAGCTGCTGATGTGACAGATTCAAATTCCAACGCAAACGCACACATGCTTAGTGATCAGAACAGATCATGCTGTTCCCCGTGTGACTGCTGGCCTCATTTGTGTCATCATTATTGGCTGCTGTACTCGGCATTTTATGTTGAATTCTAATGCCGCCGTATTTTTGCATGCTGACATGTTGCTGTCTTCGTTATAAAAAATACGCTTTCTAAATCTGCGAGTGCGGATGCTGCAAAGGAGAAAAGGCAGCCAGGGAGAGGTTGCAGGTTTGCACCATGTGACCTCACCAGCTGTTGCTGTGTGGCTGTTGGGAAAGACAGGAGGTGAAAGGGAGGGAGACAAATGGTGAGGGGTCGGTGAGCTTCCCTGTGGCGCACAATGTGACTGGTGACAATCCCTTGTTTCGCAAAAAGGGTGGGAGAGAGAGAGAGAGACAGAGGAGAGCGGAAGATGAACACAAACATGCCAGGTAGAGATGTGAGAAGGGAGCTGCGCGCACTCTCCTGATTCAGCGGAACGGATTTATTCGTCACCTCTACCCCTGCAGCCTTTTTACGCAGCGAGCCTGCTGCAAAACACGGAGGGAAATCCTAAACCAAGCAGCAGTCTTCAATCCGCTGCGTGGATTAACAGCTCTGTTACAACTCGCTTTCAGTTGCTGGGTTCCCGCCGAAGCTGAGATCCACCAGCGGAGAGCGCAGAGGATGGAGACGCCACAGAGCGACCGCTGCATTGAGGATGCGCCAACAGGGAAACTGCGGGACAAATAGGGAGCCTAAAAGAAGAGCCGTGTGTTACTGCGCGTCTATCTTGGGGAGCCCCCCTCCTCCTACGGGGAGATGTTCATCATTATGGGATAGATGCGCGGGTCTGATCGTTGCCATGGATACAAGCACGCGTAAATTTACAGTGCGGAGATGGTTTTCCATCTACCTGAAGAACAAAGCAGCGCGGAACAAGAACAGCGCCGGGTTCTGTCAGCTGGAGGTTAGTCGTGATGTCAGCTAGGCGTTTTTTTTTTTTTTTTTACGTCTGATCAGACACGAGAGGCATGCACGTGTGAAAGCAGCTGCATCACTGTTGGGATCTGTGTGTGTGTGTGTGTGTGTACTGATGTCTGGAGCTGGACAGGCAATATCTCAAAACATAAACACAGACAGCTGACTCACAGCTCACTGGTGTGAAAAGTGTTGCAGAATTATCCAGAAAGCAGTGCTAGTTTTTGCCCTTCTCTCTGTCTGCCAAGAACCAAAGCCTGAGGCCCACAGGAGATGTGTTTTTGGCAGAGAGAGGCCGGGTGTAGGACACACTGTCATACAGGGAAATACAAAGCAGAGGCAGCCAGGTTGGTCAATACATGGATCTAGACAGATTGATTCAGTTGACAGCCACAGCAGTGGAGTTCTATTTATAACCCAAACACACCAGCAGGGTCACAGTGTGAGACGTCCGGCTCACCTGCCTACATGTCTGAGCTATAAATGCAGTAAAACATTCTCCGAGACCTCCTGTTGTGAATGCTGCTAGATCAGCTCGAGTGACCATTTGATTATTGTTTGAGTGACTCTCTATCTCTAGCTCTCTGGATGATAGTCGCTGCCCTCCATGACAAATATTCACAAACATTAAACTTTACATTTTGTCACAAACTGAAAGTATTTTAATGAGTTTTTTTTTTTTTTAGCGATCAACTGTTCAATTAAATGAGATCAAAACTGAACTTTGAAGTTTCCATGCAAAAAAGTTCCCCTTTGGCAAGCAAAGGGGAAGTTTATGGAAAAACAGACAGAGTCCTGAATGGAAATCTGTTGAACGCTGCAAAACACTTGAGATTGCCACAGAGGTTTGCGTTGTACACCACTGTCCTCCTTCTTCATTCTGAATACTCCTAAACATGATACGGTTAAACAGTTTTCTTACAGAAGTCATCTGTTACTATGTGATGGAAAACTAACACTACACATCACTACTGAAACACCTTTCTCCCAACATAGGGGTGGGAGTATCTGCTGCAACTATAAGCTATAATGCTGCAAGTAAACTTGTTAGATACTGCTAAAGATTTATAACTGAGGTGGAAGGAGGTTCATCACCTAGGAGACACCAAACACACAGGTACAATGAAATGGTTTAGATCACAACATCTTTGAATATTAAAATGGAATTGAATAAAGAAGCTAGTTTAGAATCTTGGCAAAGTAGTTGCTGCTCAGTGACTGCTTTCTAGCCAAACTATTGAAGGACTTTTATATAAACTTATTTGAGACAGAGGTGTTATTAGTGCTTCCTGATGTTTTTTTTTTTGTTATGGGGTATGGGGTTGGGGTATAGGGAAAATCTGCATAGGCTTCAAGTTCAATCTGGTATGTTTTTCCACTGACTCATGCTTTAAAACCAATATGATGAAAATCTTCATGTATCACAGAAACACAGCATGTCAAACTTAATGAATGCTAGTTGAGAATGAGTAGCAAGCTGAACGCCAAGCCAACATTAAGCGGCCTTCCTGTTTTCTTTGTGCTGACAAATATCCCAATGGAGATATAAAGAATTAAAAAATAGTCATACTCAAAATTGCCTTAAATCTACATTCTACATTTTGAGCTGCATGTGACCCTTCCTATGCATTTCAGGGGAAGCCAAAAGGAAATCCATTTGGATTTACCAACAGCTATCTCGGTAAATACTTTTTTCTCATGAATGTTTGGTCTCAGATTTAATATATTGTAAAATGAGAGTGAAGTTTAGTTTATAGTGAAGATCTATAAAGAGATCTGTTTGTTACAGATCTCTTTATAGAGAACTAGAGAACAATGCTAGATTGCTTTGGGGCAAGACTACCATTAACAAAATGCTGGAAACATTTTTCGTGTCCAGAATCAAATCCATTCCCTGTTTGTCCTTGTCCAGTTTCAATAAATCAATTGACTAAGAGCTGGATGTTTGGCTTAAAAGCTGCTGTGCCTCCTGGGTAATCGCGCACTCTAACGCTTACATGGATATTCTTTTTGGAAACACATCTGTTTCCCTTTTAAAAACTGTGCAGCCTATAGACATTACACATGGTTTTCTGTCAGAAGATATTCTTATGAACTTGACACAGATGTGTCTCATTTAAACACCTGGCTTGACCTCTTGCATTGGTCTGCTAAAAATGTGAATTAAGTTTAACGATCAAATATAAAACAAGTTAAAGAGCTGTTTAACCAATTTCATTCCATGCAAGATTTATTACGTCCCTGACAAAGTCATTATGGTGATTTATTGAACTTGCAACAAGTTTACTGTTGCAAGCTTGTGAGTTACAACAGAAGTAATTTATTACAATGTATTATCATGCAAGCAAACAAACAATTTTTTAAATGAGAGTGCTTACTTGAGTTCATAATCCTATCTGGAACAAATAGCTTTATCTTAAAATTAATATGATCTGTCATTGGCAAAATATATTTAAATTTCAGCAAATGTCTGGAAAGGTGTTATTTTTTTAAGTCAGTAGTGAAGAAATAAGTCTTAAAACCTACTGAAACAGTAAAAACATGGGACATTTGTGATCATTTCTTAAGTGATTGCATTTATTTGTATTTTGTATTTGTATCTAACATGATGCATGCATTTGGTTACTGGAGATTATTACAGTAAATGATGTTTGTTCTTTCAGAGCCTAACTAAACCCAGCACAAAGATGGCACTAGAGTAATTTGCTATCCTGGCAGAAACCGATCTCACAGTTTTATTTCCTGCTTCATTGGAGATTTAAGCATTACTCTTGTTAGTAATTAGTATGAGAATGGTTATTATTCCTGTAGTAAACTGCAGTATGTTTATTGCAGCACATTATTCGGCCTCAGATGACAATAGAAAGTTGGTTGCCTCAGCAACAGATGTGTAAAATGTTGCTGAGCCCCTAGCAGTCAAGCCTTGGCTACTGGGGATTAGCAGGGCAGAGACCCAAAGAGCCAACAGAAGGCATCCTCGAAGTTGGCCCACCACCAGCAGGGAAAAGAGTTGATGTCGTGTTCAATGTAAGCTAGTTGGCAGGCAAAATTTTATCACAATTAGGCATTTGGGAGAGATAAATGTAAAGTGCTGAGTAAACCATATTTGCTTCTCATAGATTTCTTCTGGCTTTGCTTGATTGCCACTCCTAAATGTTTCATATCATCAAACAAATTGTAATATTGGACAAAGATAACCAGAGTAAATGTAAAAAGTAGTTTTAAAATTATTAATTAATTCATTAAGTCAAATAGGCTATCTAAACCCATCTGGGCCTTTGTGAAAAAATTAATTGTCCCAATTTTAAATAAGGATTTAACTATGATTGAAACTTTTTTTTTTTTTTTTTAGAAAGCTGAGCTCAGTTTCCCATTTCAGACCCAGGCGTGTTTGTTACCTGACCAGCAAATATAATAAATCATTTAAAAAGACCCCTTCTGTCTGCTGAAAAAAAAAAGGAAAAGTAGGGGAGCAAGGGCTGAGCCTTTCCAAGAGAGGCTGGTCAACCAAAACGATTCTAAGAGCGCAGTGACGATTAGTGCAGAAGGTCAACACAACCAAGAACAACATCTAAACCTCTGTCGGCCTCACTTGTCCCAGTTAAAGTCAGAGTTCAAGGTTTACCAATAAGAAAGAGAAACTGGGTGAAATGGTGTCTGTGGAAGAGTTCCAAGGCCAGAATCCCTGCTGATCAAAAAACAGAAATGCCCATCTCATATCTTTCAAAAAACATCAAGTATTTTGGAGAAACATTCTGTGGACTTCGGGGACAAAAGAGGAAACTTTTGATGCGTGTCATGTCACATCTTACCTAAAACCAACATGGCATTTCAGACACAGACCAACGTTAAAACCTGTGAGGGTTCAGAATGCTTTGCTACGTCAAGATCTGGACAACTTGCCATAAGGATCATCTCCAGGCATCAGTACCTGATCTAAAGCTCAATTAGACTTTGATTCTGCAGGATGACAATGATCTACTTCACAGAAGCAAGGGCGAGAAGCCTCAGAATAATAAAAAAAAATAGAAATACTAATATTTAATAACTTGGGCCTTTTCTGTATCCATTTAGTTTAGAGTTTTCCCTCTTTCTGTCCTGTCGAGCTGTTTATGTCAATCAGGTTGTACAAACACAACTTTTGAATGAGTAAATAAAGTGCAAATGATGATGTCTGCATTTCTTTTCTCAGGACGACAGTGTACTTAAAGAGATTGACATCAGCCACCATGTTAAGGAAGGCTGTGAGAAAGCAGACCCGTCTCAGTTCCAGTTATTGAAGGTGCTCGGACAAGGATCCTATGGAAAGGTACTAAAACACGATACAGTAGCTGATGCCTGGAAACAGGAAAAATGTGAAGTTCTAGAAAGAAAAAGTGATTTTGTCTAATGTATCATGATCCCTTAAAGACATTCTGGAGGTAATTAATAAAAGTAGCTGGTAACACTTTAATTGAAGGGGGGTGAATAAGACTGTCATGACACTGTCATAAACATGACATAACACATGTCATGAACATCAATAAGTCTTCATGAATATTTATGACTGTTGTCATAAAGCGTCATTCGTTAAAATATGACACTTTTAATACAAAGTTGACATTATTCAAAATGTCTTTGTTCTGACAACTTGACATTAACCAATAAATCATTACTGATATAAATTTGTTATAAAAGTATTACACTTTAAAAATTAGGTATCTTTATGTTATTAAAGGTAAAGTTTAAACAGTAATTATTTCTTAGTTAATGTCAAGTTGTCATAACAAAGATATTTTGAATAATGTCAACTTTGTATTAAAAGTGTCATTATTTACCGAATGACGCTTTATGACAACAGTCATAAATATTCATGAAGGCTTATTCATGTTCATGACAGCTGTTATGTCATGTTTATGACAGTGTCATGACAGTCTTATTCACCCCCCTTCAAATAAAGTNTTACCAAGTAGCTTAATGTGTGTCAAATGTTCAGATTTGGAGTGTTATGCTCACTGCAGTGGAATTGCCACCACATGGACAAAAAAGTGCACAATTGAAAAAGAACTACAATTAGAGAAACTATGAACATTAATTTTGAAGAAGATTACAAAGTGGGTTAGATAAAAAAAAACATTCTTTCTCTTTCTATGTCAAAACATAAAAAATAAATTAAATAAAACATACAGAACAGAGAGAAAAAGGGGTTATGATCTTACTTTTGACTGGAGTGTGAGTGTGCTTGTACATGTGTTTGTTTATTCACCAGCAAGTCATCTGCTAATGATAAGCCTCCCATTTCCAATTATCTGTAGATTAGCTCCCTTGACAACAGCTTCATAGACCACTAAGCTTATTTAAATGAATAGAAGAACACAGACTCACTTGATTAGAGGTCTGCATTAGCCAAACATTCAACCCTGGCAGTCATTGGCAGGCGGATGCTGTTTACAAAGCTGCGAGCAGACAATTGAGGTCGAGTCTCAGTGTGGCCTGGATTGCCTGCTTACATGGCTCAGTGTACTGCTGTCCTTTGACAGACCTTGTTTAAATCATAGCTGTTGCGGCTCCAAGACAGCAATTTACATTTCTGTTTGCAAAACACGACGGAATCAAACGACCTTCGAGTTTGTAACCTACGACTTTTAGGCTAATGTAGATTGTGTTTCAATTAACATTCTGGCAGCAGCTTTGATTTTTATGATGAATAATTGCTATATTCATCTTTTATGAACTGTTAGGAACAATATGACTACCATGTGGTAACTTGTAACATGTGCTACTTATTTCTAGGTGTTCCTGGTTAGAAAGATCAGAGGAGCGGACAGAGGACAGCTCTACGCCATGAAGGTCCTGAAAAAAGCAACTCTAAAAGGTGATACGCTGAAACTCAATGAGTGAACACGCATATAAACTGTTTAGAAACATCAACTCTTTAAAAACTTGGTTTGTCTATTCACATATAATTTAAAATAACTTACATATTTATTTTGTCGCATGGCTAGGGCACTATATGTATTGCATTACAAAGAGTCTCTATTATGGAGATGCTAATATACCAAGATTAAAAGAGGTTTTTTGTGTAAATTATTTTATTTATATGGCTGTTTGATTTCTACATTTACATGCCCTACATTCAAGGGATTTGGTGTAAAACAGGTTAGTTTGTACTCTTACAGAGCAAAACATTTTTTAACATCTGCTGGGATTAACATGAACTAGAGTGAAGCAGGTTCAGATGTCATGTGCTAATCTAGAGTTTCCGTACAAGATTTAATCCTCTTTACCCACACCCTGGAACTGGAAGAATCACAATCTCATCCTCTCAAGGACAGAGATGCTGGAGTATGGAGGTTGTCTTAATTTGCACAGGAGTAAGTTCCCTTTACAGTGGCCAGTTAGGAAGATACTTGGTTTTTGTACCATGTTCAACTACATACAGAAATCTGTCAACTATTTAATAAGTAATCAGGACATGGCTGTAAATATTTAGAACTATTTGCTGCATGTTGAAGAGTAAAATGAGTTTCTGTTGTTTCTGATTATAGTTCTGTAACTCCGTAGCAATATGGAAGCTTCTTCATTGTATTTTGTGTTACTTCAGTATTCAGAAGCTTTTTACTAGGCTTTTGGAGCAGAATGTCTGGTTTAGCGCCGGGGATTTTTTTTTTTTCATCACAGAGGCATTCTGTAAATTGAATTATGTGCCTCAGCGTTCATTTGATGTAAAATACAGATTATTTTTTTTATCTCTTTGGAAGAATGTCTCAGCAACTTGAGCATAATAATGATATAAAACAATTACATTTTTCAGTCTTTATTGTCAGTTTTCAGTTTTGTTTTGCTGTCTTTAAGTAATCCATATTTTCTGATTTAAGATTTAGCAACATTAGATTTTGAGATATTTGTATTTTCTATCTGGAGAACAATTTTTTGACTATTTCTTAACTTTTTACAACTTTGAGCAAACTCAATAGCCTTTTACGTTTGAAAAATTTACCTTATGTGGAATCACATGTCTTTTCATCACTAAATGCTTTATTAGTTATATAAAGAAGTCTGCAGCACGTTAAAATAGAAGACAATGTAGCATGTTTTAAAAAAAATTTTCACCTCAATTATTTCATGTTAACATTCTGTTTTTGTCATTTTAAAAATCGGCCAACATTTCTGTGGCATTAAATGTCATTTAATCAATGAAGTATTTAGTAATATTAAAGAATTTAGAGATATTTACAATTCAATTAATGACATTATTTGCTGTTTTCAGTGCGGGACAGAGTCCGGTCAAAGATGGAAAGAGACATTCTGGCAGAAGTTAATCACCCTTTTATTGTTAAACTCCACTATGGTAAGTTGAATATTGTACTTCTGCAGCTTTACTTTTTTGTATTTGTCATCATAGTTTTGCACTTTCATTTAGGAGGGACATACACTGGCATCTCAATAAGTCAGAATAATGAAAGTACTTCGCTAATTTAGCGACTCAATTTAAAAACAGTAAACTCATATGACATATAGATAGGTATATATTTCTACTAATCTACCTAATCCTCAAAATTAAGTAGAATTCCATTTTAATACCAAAATGTCAGTGTACTGAGAAGTATATCAACGTATTGTATAGTACATGCACACAATATTTGTCAGGAAACATGAGATTATTCCATCTGGCTCACATATGTCATCAGGGATGCTAAAAGTAAAATAATTCTGATTAATTTTCATTCTCTTCATGAGAAAAAAAAGTTGTCTTTTATCCATTAAACACTTTACCACAGTACTAACATGCAGAGAACTATGCACACTACAATAATTTCTTAAGATCACATCCTCAAAATGAAAGAGAGTGTAATAAATTTACAATAACCCAAGCTCAATGTGTGTTGTGAAACTTGTGTGTGTGTGTTTAGCCTTTCAGACAGAAGGAAAGCTCTATTTGATCCTGGACTTCCTTAGAGGTGGAGATCTTTTCACTCGCCTATCCAAGGAGGTGGGTTTGCAATCAGTTTCCTGAAATGGAAAAAAAAAAAAAAAAATTACCAATAAACACAACATCTATTTGAAATTACTTAGGTTTAATTTTGGCAGTGTCTTCAGATAACACCTTCAGTTTTTGAGGTCAAAAACTTTTCACTTTCTTGCAGCAGTTGGAAACCATTTTGGGTTAAGTTTGTGGCTTTTATAACTTAAAAACCAGGAACAATTATAGGAGTGCGATAAAAGAACAAATACGTGTATTAAAATGTTACAAAGTCAACCTTATGGCAATGGAGCAATTAACTTTTCTTGCCACTTTAGGTCATTATTAACACGTCTAATTAATTTCTTTTTTTTACTTGTACCCCAATGAACTGCTACTACATATTCTTTATTTGCTTATAGGTAATGTTTACAGAGGAGGATGTGAAGTTTTACCTTGCAGAGTTGGCCCTGGCCCTGGACCACCTACACAGTCTGGGGATAATCTACAGAGACCTTAAGCCTGAAAAGTACGTAACATACGCTATAAATGCTTAATTTCCGATGGATGTTTATTTAACTAAATCTTAGTGTTGTTTGTCTTTTTTATTAGTATTCTCCTGGATGAGGAGGGACACATAAAGATCACAGGTCAGAATATATACAGCTGCAAGCAATCTTTAATCCTTGAATGTTTTTTTTTTCTTTTCTTTCCATATTTATCTTACGTTGCATCTGTGTTTCTGCTCAGACTTTGGATTGAGTAAGGAAGCCATTGACCATGATAAACGAGCATACTCTTTCTGTGGGACCATTGAGTACATGGCTCCTGAGGTGGTAAACAGGAGAGGACACACACAAAGTGCTGACTGGTGGTCCTTTGGAGTCCTGATGGTGAGAATTATTCATTCAAACATACGAATATGAGTAGCGAGAGTATATGTTTGGTTTCACTACCTCAGATTGAAGTACACTTGTTACTTGTGTGGAATGATAATAGACTTCAAACAACTTGCAGACAGTAGAACAGACTTTCGTCAGTAGTAATGTAGAACTTCCTCATTTCAGTTTCCTGTTTGAGTGAAAGTGCTCAGTTACAAAAGTGTTGCAAAGTGATTCGCACTTTTCATCGTGCTTTGGGGACATTATAAACACAAATCTTTACTTTATTAGGATTTTTATTTGATAGTCCAACACAAAGGTTTTCACTATTAAAATTCAGTAAAATGCATTTTAAACATGCATTGTGTTTGTGACCCCCTCAACCAATTGCCTTACAGGTGGAATGTGATGCAAAAGTGACTTTTTCTTTGAGTACTTAACTGTTAAATCTAGTCAACCAGCGTGTAAGTTACTTTTAAAATAAATACAGTTGTTTTGTGATGTTTTATTAAAGAACACTGCCAAACAGAATCATGAAGCCCAAGCAGCAGACCAAGCTTGTTTTTTAGATGCTCCCAAAGACACAAGGTGGCAGGTTCAACTTGGAGTGGGAAAATAACACCTAACATGCAGCCAGAACTAAAATAGAATAGTTTGGATTAAAACATAATTGTGTGCGAGAATGATCTGGACAAAGCAGCACTCGAAAGCTGGTCTTCACAGACATCCTCAGTTAAAAATGAGCCCGTCCATCTATCCGTCCGTCCGTCCGCCCGCCCGTCCCCAGCTGCCTTCTTAACTATTTTCACACAGAACAAAGACGTGTTTTCACTCGTGTTTAATTTGGGTTAAAGTGTTTGCAGGCTGTTTGGTTAGCGACGAATAACTCGCGACCATAATTAAGGGCTGAACTGTAGCTCAACAGAGAAATTGACAGAACTCTCTCTTCACAACAACACAGAATCGTAACATTTCTATGCCCCAAACCCCCCTGTCAATCTCCCACTCGTATGCCCTCATGAATCTGAAAAACACTTTGAGGTCTCTTCCATTTTGAGACAGACGTTTGCTTCTAACCTGGAGTTGACAGTCTATTCTTTTCCAGAGGAGAACAACAGCCTCAGACAAAGACTTGTTGTTGTTTTCCAACTATTTCAGGTTCTTGTGAAAGCGTCTCTGGAATGTCTTTGCTTGATGAACCCAAGGGGACATATTCAAAAAATATCATGATCTTATTTATCTAGTGGTTCTTTTCATTAAACATTCTTCCAGGAAATCCTTAGTAAAACGTTTTGTGGAGCTGGTTCTGAGGATCTTGATTTCATACAGTAACAGTGGGTCATTTTCAAGGTTTAATAAATGTCAAATTCAGTTTAACATTTAACAATAGCAACCACACTTACAATGAACCCCCAGAAAGCCGCATGCAGTCTACGTTTTTATTAGATGAGTTACATGTTCTGACAGTTTTTGTTCTGTTTTCCAGTTTGAAATGTTGACTGGATCTTTGCCGTTCCAAGGAAAAGATCGGAAGGAAACAATGGCGCTTATTTTAAAGTAAGAACAAAAATCTTTTCACATCTTCTGTCTCTTAAACTTACTTAAACCTTTTTATTGAATAATTTCCAATTAACCTTGGGCAAAACTCATTCTATTCTAAAACAATTCAGTGTTTATTGACATCTAGTTGGTTTTCTTCCTGATGGGTCCTGTAACTGGATGTTAGGCCCTGTTCTTATATTTAATGGTTAGCATTTTCTCTGTCCTCTGTATGTTGCTGTGTTGATTCTGTTTGTTAATGTGCTAACTGTTTACATTTGTGTCTTGTCTGTTAAGGGCAAAGCTTGGAATGCCACAGTTCCTCAGCCCCGAAGTGCAGAGTTTATTGAGAGCACTCTTCAAGAGGAATCCTGCCAATCGTCTAGGTCTGGCTGTTCAAAAGCTTCGTGCATAATTGATCTGTTAACACTAACGTGATGCATTAGTTTTGATTGTGTTTTAACCTAATTAAAAGGTTAAATATCTTTTTTGTCAATCTGTGTGACTGACAGGAGCCGGACCAGACGGAGTGGAAGAAATTAAAAGACACCGCTTCTTTGCATCGATTGACTGGAATGTAAGTAAATTAGATTTACCACATTTTTATGTGATACAATACATGCCAACAATAAAGACGTTTCTGTTTTGTGCAAATGGTGTGAACGTAGTCAAAATGAAGTAAAAATGTGTAAGTAAAAACTCTCTACCAACAACTTTTTTATGACTCATACTACAGAGCCTTGCGCTCAGAGAGTGTGCTCGTATCCATATGATCTGTCTTGGAAATTATCTGTGCTGTCAACATGAGACCTTGACATCCTTTGCTTTGATCTGCACTGCTTGAAAAAGATCGTTCGCTGCAGTGTAATGCTCCTTGCAGCGAGCAAGGAGCATTAAAACCGGAGATGCGCCACAGTTGAGATGTCTTTGGATTATCTCGCATCTACTAGGGAACAACATCAGAGCTGAAACTCACCGACTAGCTTTACAATTTTGCATGTAAGAAATGCAAAGCACTTTTTGCTGTGAATCAGTACCGGTCCTCTTACAGATTTCTTCTTCTGTTTTAAATCATAAAGTGAATTCTAATATCACAAATTAATATTACAATTGACAGCCCCTGTTAAGTCAGGAATTAACTGTGATTAACCACAGTTTGTTTGTAAATTTCACTATCCACACCCAGTCCTGATTTATAATTGAATCAAGAAATAACTTAAACTTGAACCTAACTTTTAACGTCACGTAGGTCAAATTGTAAAAATAGCAACACGTTATGTTCCGAAAAAAAAAAAAAAAAAAAAAACTAAATAAAAATAAAGAAGAGACAAACAATGTCATGGATATATATTAATGGATCTACTTTTAAAATTGGAGCGGGTACCAAATAACTACTGCTTATTGAGATATTGAGAATATGCTGACAATTGCGTCTAAAAATCCTCTGATTTGTAATGAAAGTCGTTTTCTTACCTTAGCAAAATAAATTACCCGATCTGTCTTGTTTTTGTCCTGCTATATTGAAATCATTTAACTAACTTGTGCAATGGAAATCCACCGTTACAGTTGTGTACATGACTTCTTATCCATCTAGCTTTGGCAATAGTGATGCTGAATTTTTCTACACAATCCACGATATTCTGCTTTCAGCATTTATTAATCTCTCTTCTCGTTCCTGCGCTCCTTATCCCTTACCATTACCCTCGCTACCTTCCAGCCACATATTCCCCGTTTTCAGACAGTGTTTGCCAAAATAAGACTTTTGTTTTTTCTCCACGCCATTCAAATAAATAATCACTATCAGAGAGAGTAGTGTACCTGTTATTGTTTGTGATGATTATTAAATCTGTCTTAAAATTTTCATTCTTTTTTTAAAGACTTACTTCCATAATTCTATAAAGCAGACTCAGCCTGTAGCCTGACGAATATGAAATGCAGTGGGCTGCATCCCCACCTTTAATACAGCTTTGTATTAAAGGTGTCAGGTATCTATTTTTACCCCAATGAGCCCAGACGTATAGACTCAACAGATGTTGCACTAGTGACACCTAAAGGCCATAATCAGTAATGACAGTGTTCAGTTTTCAACAGGCAGGATAATAAATGTGGGCTCTCTTTTTTCAGTACTAGATATTTAGAGTTTTGTAGATTACTTTAATGTATTTTGCTCCAATTACATTTCAACACGTAGTGCACAGTGCACTGTGAGACAGTTATGAACAACTTCACATAAAGGTGGAATATAATTTATTTTCTTCAAAAACAGTTTCATCTGTTTACAGTAATGAGCTGCAGTCATAGTACGTCACATCGTTAACATTTCTTTCTTTAGCAAAGCTGATGGTAAATTAAATTTTTTTTTTTTTGCTGTTGCCGTTGTCTGGCTCTATAGAAGCTGTACAGGAAAGAGATGAGGCCTCCATTCAAACCGACTGTCGGAAGACCTGAAGACACTTTCCATTTTGATCCCGAGTTCACCTCCAGAACGCCAACAGGTAACTCAGACCCACGCATGAACACGCAGAGGCGACAACATACTCAAAACAATTCCACTGTCATTTTGATTCAGCTCTTGTTAGATGCATATGTACAGCAATAAAATAGACAGACGGATAGATTTACCACAGCTTGGGAATCACTGTGTTTTGTTCTATCTCCAGATTCTCCAGGGATTCCTCCAAGTGCAAACACACATCAGCTGTTTCGTGGTTTCAGCTTTGTGGCCACTAATCAAACTCAAGAGGCCACTGTTGCTCCTGTCGTTCCTTCCCGGCAGGAAGTGAACATTAACCCCATAGCGCAAGTATGCAACGTTTAGCAAGGCGTCTCATGACAAAACAGTTTATACTTAATTTGACATATATAATTATATATGATGGTAACTGACGGGTTGTCTGCTATAAAATGAATAATAAAAATGACATGATGATCTCCAACAGCACATCCGCAGCGACGTGGCTTTCAAAGATACGTATGAACTGAAGGAAGAAGTCGAACAGTCAGGACCCTTTGTCCGCAAAAGATGCCTGCACAGAATTACTGCTGTGGAGTATTCGGTGAAGGTAGGAGAAATTGTTCGTGTGAGCTTTTCACTGGGCTTTAGGAATGCAGAGGATAGTTTGTTTTGGCTAAAAACAGGAAAACTAGCTCAAAATGTCCTGTTTTCATGTTCTAAAAACAACAAAAAAAACAACACAACTGCTCGCTGCAATGTAATTTATGAAAACATTACTTTTTGAAAAGTGGCTTTTATTCAGTCCTCGGTTCATCGATAAAACATGTTATGAAAATGTTGAAACCACTTACAAAATCACTGCTATTGCCATTCCATCCTTTTGATGCATTTTTAAAAGTACCAAATAAAATATATCCCCATCATATTAAATAGTTGTATTTTTGTGCAGTTTATAACAAACTCTGTGTTCCTGTTTATTAAATCAGATTATTGACAGAGCCAAAAAAGATCCATCAGAGGAGATTGAAATCCTTTTACGATATGGACAGCATCCAAATATAATTACCTTGAGAGATGTAAGTAAAAACAAAAACATGCTGAAAAGATAAAACGACAAGCAGAGCTGCAGATTCTTTTAATTTTCTGAGTATTAATCTGACCTGTTTTTTGTTGTTTTCATCTTAAATACGAATGTCCTCTTCCCCCCACATGTAGGTCTTTGACGATGGCCAATGTGTTTTCTTGGTTCTTGACGTAATGCGAGGAAATGAGCTCCTGGACAAAGTTCTGAGGCTGCCAAATTTCACAGAGAGGGATGCATCAGACATTATCTGCACACTGTCCAAGACTGTAGAGTATCTACACTCCCAGGGGGTAAAGATGGCCTGTTGTGAAACAATTATGAAAAGTATTACTGTGCAAATACAGTACCTCCCACAATTATTGGCATGACTGGTGAAGATTTGCACAAAATATAAATAAATAAATTGCTGTTTCACTGTGTTAGCATCACAATCTAAAACATTTATAAAATCCACCATTTTTTTTTCCTCTCCAAACTTTTAATTTCTAATTTTTTACTTTCTTTTTTCCTGGGGTATAAAAATGTCTCTCGTCTCAATTCATCAGGCTTGCTGATAATTGTGGAAAGTGCTGTGCTTATACCATAAAGTTGTTATTGCATCATCAGAAATATTAGTATCTCCAAGCAGACCAAAAAGGCACGCAGGCTTGTTGACGATCAGCTTTGTTCCAGGTTGTTCACCGAGACCTGAAGCCCAGCAACATTCGCTATGCCGATGAGGCTGGACTCCCAGAATCCATCAGGATATGCGACTTTGGTTTTGCCAAACAGCTCCGTGCTGAAAATGGCTTACTGATGACTCCATGTTACACAGCCACGTTCATGGCTCCTGAGGTACCGTTGCTACTGATCGGCGCTGTAAAACGTCTGCCATTTCCCCGACATCCAAACACATGAGAAAACAAAGTTCTTAATGTGTATTTTGTGTGTTTAGGTTTTAAGGAAACAGGGTTACGATGCAGCCTGTGACATCTGGAGCCTGGGGATCCTCCTGTACACAATGATAGCTGGGTTAGTGTAAAGTTTAAAAACAAGAAATCTGCTGTCAGTGTTTAAAAATACAATTTATTGGTCTATTGTCAGTGCAGCATTCAGCCTGTGCAATGTCATGATTCCTTGCCCATAATCCCTCTGCAGCAGTCCTATAAATAACCTCCCCTGGAACAAAAGCAGTACAGACAATAAGAGAGAAGGTCAACCTGAGGACGATTCTCATTTCATCCCTTTTCCCGTTCACCTTCGATGTTCTCTGTTAGAGCTTTATAGCATCTACAAACTGTATATATATATACATATTTTCCAAATTGCTATCCAAAATAGTTTAATAGTTTAGTACTTATTTACCACATTGCTGAATAACTGTGGACTTCTCAATCTTGTTCAGTTTCAGCCCATTTGCCAGCAGCCCTAATGACACCGCAGAGGAGATCCTGGCTCAGATTGGAAGCGGGAAAGTTGTCATCACAGGAGGGAACTGGGACTTGGTGTCTGAAGCTGCCAAGGTTACATCTTAATAAAAAAAAAAAAAATCTTTTGTTAAGATACGGATGCTGTCAAGTTATTCTGATATAACCTGTGTGTTATCTGTTCATGTTTAACAGGACATTGTGATAAAGATGCTCCATGTGGATCCTCACCAGCGTCTTACTGCCCCACAGGTAGGATGCTTTGTTAAAATAAACTCACCAACAATGAACTGTTAAAAAATGCATAATACTTTTATTTATTTACTACAATTTTAATAAGTTTATTTTACTTTCAATCAGAGAAGTATGCTGCACTTACTGTGCGCCGCCAGTGGTTTATGATGTTCTTTCTCAATGTTGTCATTCTAATTGTTACTAAATAAGAATTGAATATGGATTATCGGTTTTACTGCGATGCTCTTTAGGTTCTTCGGCACCCGTGGATCGTAGAGAAAGAGCAGCTTTCTGACAAACCTCTCGCCAGGCAGGATGCTCTCACTGTCAAGGTCAGACCCTTTCTGCATGTCCTTCTGTATCTATATGTGACTGTGCCTCATTATAAGCTAACCATTCACATTTTATTCCTCTGCATGTGTGACTAGAAAAGACTAATATTTAGTCAAATGTAAGTGTAATTAGATTAAAAAGATGCTGAACTGATAAGCCAGACAGAGGTTTTTGTTTGTTTCTATTCGTAAAATAAATAGCAGCACTATTAGTTGACAATTAAAGAAAATTGATTTTGAGAAGTAAATACTATAATACTATAATTATTGTTGAATGCATGTGTGTCCTTTATTATATTATCATCATACACCTCATGACATACAACAATTTGACTCCAGAATCCACTAGATGGCACTTTTTCCACTTACTTGGATTGTTGGACAGATCATCTAATTGCATTGTCCTCTATGTCCCACCAGGGGGCGCTGTTTGCCACATATTCTGCTCTGAAGCGATGCGCTCCTGCTCCAGTCCTGGAACCAGTGCAGTCCTCCAGTCTGGCTCAGCGAAGGGGGATGAAGAAGCTGGGCAGTTCAAGTGTCACTTCGGAACCTAAAGAAAAGGAATAACTTTAATACTGGAAACGAAAGGCGGACGGGGAACTTAATGAAGACCTGCATCGACAAGAGACTCACGTTCTGACAAGCACAAAATTATGCCTAATTAACACTAAAGTGGCATCAAGATTGACTTGGTTCTCAGTGCAATTTCCAAACTGTATCAAAATGAGCTAATTTTACACTGTGACATAACACTTATTATGCATGTCTTCATACAGAACTTTTCTCTATGATCACAATAAAGTGGCTTTAGTGGAGACAATTCAATTTTAACATGCAGATGCCTTCATAGATCCTTTGGATCTTTCTGACCTGTCTTGTAGCCATTTCATACTTAATTCAAAAAAACAGCCCCTTTCATGGAGCAAGCCCCCCATTCAATTACAATACACAAGTACTCATTTGAGTCCGAGCAAACCTAAAGGAGAGGCCGTCAAGGAGGGAATACTTTTGTGCAATAAACTCTGTGCAATACACCCAGCTTAACTGGAACTGCCTTGGTTTACACGCAACTTAAAATAAGAAGAATGGACTGGGAAATGAAAATGAAAATCTCTTTTTGGTGCCACAAAAAACACACAGTAGACAATTCTTTCAAGATTTTTTTTTTTTTTAGCTTATATTTTGACTCAATGTGGCACTCATTACAGCAATACTTTTCTTCCATTCTTTTGGGAGTTTAGCATGAAAATGTAAAAAAAAAGACATGTAAATATCCTTAGAGAAGTAGTTCTGAGGTAACTATG